AAGAGAGAGAAAAAGAGAAGAGAGTAGGTTGTGCGATGGGGAACCCGTGAGTTATGGGTAGAGTATTCCCGCATGTACGCCGCATTGAGAGAGCGGCATGAGTATGAGAGAGAGAAGTGGTGTAGCCCGTAAGAGTGCATGCAGATGAGGGCTATACCCGAGAGTACCCGAGAGAGAGAGATTATACACTCACATGGCCAAGAGTTCTGAATCCATGCATAACCGAGTCCGATCGGCTAGAATAAGTAGAAGTGACGTAGAGTGGGAGCGAGTCCCGGCCGTGCCTCCGGTAAGATGAGGCCGTGACTACTAAAGAGAGTTAGTAGAAAAAGTTATGAGAAAGAGAAAATAGAGAGAAGTGTAAGAGAGAGAGTAAACGAGAATTGCAAGGAAAGAATTAGAGAGAGATAGTTACAGGGATAGATGCGTAGAGGATTTACTTACTGAGCATTATTTGTGCTCACCCCATTGTTTTTCATATTTTGTAGGATCTAGGTGAGGACACGGTCGGATGGACGTCGGCAAGCGAAGGGAGATGGCTACACTGTCCATCTTATTTTTGATGTTTTGTACATGTTACAATGTTTGTGAAAAGAATGTTTATGTACATATATATGTTTAATGAAAGAAAAATTTGGGTCCAACTATTTATGTTATTTTACATGTGTTTTCATTATGTGCATATTTTATGAGTATTTGAATAGAATGGAGTTATTACAACCAGGTTGTCACCATACAACCAGGTTGTCACCAAACAACCTTGACAAGTGAGATCAGTCACTGTCTTTCGACAGGGTCGTTCAACACTATGATAGCCTTACCGTATTATCTGTGCCCTTACTTCAGAATAATACTGGGGCTACGGACGTTTCTAGAATGGCCACCATATGTGCTCATAGGGTTCTCACTATCAAGATTTGAAACATTTGATACCCTCGTCACGGTTCTACCATTCTAAGGACATATATCAATACATATTGCAATAATAATGATTTACGCGATATAGAATAAAATGCCTTTTATTGATCAATGAACATTATTACAAATAGTCAATTTTACAATAATTGATTGGCTCTAGGGCATCTACTCTAACAAAAACTTGATAAAGAAAAAAAATGCAATAATTGACAATTAATTTACAAGTTACAATTTACAAAACAACTAATTTGGGGGTTGACTAGGACCTCTCTCATCCGTATCATCTACATTACAAAATTGAAATGATTCTATCAAAGTATCGTCGACAACCTCATATTGATCTTGAAGGCGCAACCGTTCCTAATCTCGAAGACATGTGAGGACTTCAATCATTTTTTGTGAAAGTTTAGTCCTCCTTTCATTTAAAATTATTCCACTTGCACTAAATGTTTGTTCGGATGAGACGGTTGAGACATGAACAGCGAAAACATCCAAGGAAAGTGTTGATAATACCGAAAAAATACATTTTCTGGTTTTCCAATATTCTAAGACATCAAAGTTGGCTCTTCGTTGTGGATCTGCTAGTAACATTTTGGGGGTTCCCAAATATTGTTGAAGCTTGTTACTCTATGACTGAATGGGGGATAGTATATTCGTTGTTGGTGCTTCTGAAGAGAAAGGCTGTGCTTCGGATTTGGGTCCTCTTCGGCCTATTAAGTGCACTCCAGGAGTAGAAGTCTTCATTTGTTTCTTCTGATGCAACTTCCCTGGGTATTTAGGCTCTTTACGGGTTCCTATACCTGTTTTCATATTGGAAATATACCTCTGCAAGACAATTTCTTACCTCTCCTAGTTGATTGGCATATGTTTCGTTTTGTAAATTTTCAGATAATGTGTCTAAACCATTTTCTAAACCTACTAATTTAATTTTAGGATCAAATATAGCACCTAAACAATAAAGAAAAGGAACGGGTTTCCAATATTTTAAAAAAAAAAAATTTCATTGCCTTTATTGGTCCCGCTAAAATTTCATTGTTTTTGTTTTTTTTTTGTAAATAACTCTGAAATTTTTATAATTGTATGTATTATCAATGGACTAGTAGGATAATACATACCAGAAAGTTGTAAAGTGGATTGGTAAAAAATTTTAAGAAGAGATTGAAATATTTTAGCTATATGTCAATCATTTTCTACTAAATAATGAGGACCTCTATTATTTGCTACAAAATAACTAATTAAATTTGCATAAGATAAACATGAATCAATCATTAAATAAGTACTATTCCATCTAATAGGCATGTCTAATGCAAAAGTTCTAGGAGATATATTTAATTTTATACAAGCATCTTGAAATTCAGCATTTCTTTCATTACTACTAATAATCCAAGCTAAAGAATCCCTAATTCTATCAATATTATCTTTAATTGTTTTCATAGCACTTTTCACAATTAAATTAATAACATGACATGCACAACGTTGGTGAAAAAACTTCAAATTGTTATAAAAATATAATTAATTTAAAAAAAATCTATAGATGTATTATTAGTACTTGCATTATCTAAAGTTAAATTTATTATTTTATTAATAACATCATATCTTTTAAAACTTCAATAATTTTATTATAAATTTGTTGACCACTATGATCCACATCCATTAATCTAAATCTTAATAAAGATTTATTCAATTTACATTTGTTATCAAAATAATGACTAGTCACACAAATATAATCTTGTTTAGCTCTACCACTCCAAATATCGGCAGTTAGAGCCACACTAACATGACAACTATGTATTTTATTTTTTAATTCTAATTTTATTTTCCCAAACAATTTTATTAAATCATTTCTAGTTGCAGTTTTAGAATAACTTTTAAATCCTGGAAAAATGAATTTTTAATAAATCTTTCAAAATATTTATCTTCAGCCATATTAATAAGTTGATCAGTTGCAATAATATACAAAGCTAATTGTTCCTTATATACATCAGAATTATAATGTCAAGTAGTACCCATATTAGTTATTTGAGTTTAATTGGTTTCTCTATTTCCATGTTGAGCAATATGTTTATTAGCATGCCTTTTTAAAGTACTAGTACTATTACCTGAATCAGCTTTATAAATATTACCACAATACTTGCATCTTGCTTTCTTCACTTGAACTTCATTTTCTATCTCGTAAAATTTATCGAAATGAACCCAAACGTCTGATGTGTGTCTGTCGTTGGTTTCGACAACAGTTGATGAACCCGCTTCAACTTGAGATGAAGTTGGACAAGGAAAACGATTACGAGGACGACTTCTAGAACCACCAGGAGCTATAGTAGCATGGGGAGGAATCGGAGGAATATTATGAGGTGTATCAGATTTTGAGACCGGGAAAGTAGGATTATTTGAATCTACTGCATTTATGTTAGTAAATTTAGGGGGACAAGGATAGTAGTTTCCTTCATTATCAAAATTGATGGGATGGAAATATCTATCCATTGTAGAAAAAAAAAAAATTGATATAGAAGAAATACAAAAATTAAAGAAGGAGAATTGAAATTTGGAAATATGAATTGAAAATTGCAAAAACTAATAAAAATTAAAATGAGAGCAAATTGACAAACAAAGAGAATAATTGAGAGATTGCAATAGAGATTAGAGAAAATGAGAAAATTTGGGATGTGAGGAAATATGAAAGTTTAGGGCCTATTTATAGAAAAAAATGGGAAAAGAAAATGACAAAAAAGACCCCTCCAACTGCTATAAAACGGCTATATTTCAAGGGTAAAAGGGGTATTTAAAAAAAATTTATTTTTTTTCGACCGACCCGCGGGTTGGCGGGTTCTTTTAAGAAAAACAAAATAGCAACCTGTCGGGTTGCCATATAACAACCCGGCCTGCCCAAGGGTTGCATAAGGGTCAGGTTCAACCCGACCCGCCTTATAGGCAGTCTGAGTTGAACTCTCTTTAATGCGGGCTGGGTTAGGGTTGATCCGCCAACCCGACTCATTTGTTCCAATAAAGTGAATAAACGGCAATTTTCGATCGTTTTTAGGCTATTGTGATAGATTCCGACCACCATCGATGATGGTTTTTAGAATTTGGCAACAATGGGCGGGTGGGATTGTTTTTGTTAATTTTTAAACTTTGTTTTCTAGAGGTGTTTAATTAAGTTAATAAACTTAAGGGATCTAAAAGTAATTAAAAAAATTAAATAGTATTTCTCAAATAATTAAACAAACAAGTATTTTGGGAATATGATAGGGAATAGGTTTTGAAATAATAAAACAAACAAGCCCAATATCGTCGGGTGCGTTTGGTGTAGTATTTTGGATAGGATTTTGAGGATAGTATTGGATTGTTGGATAGGGGAGTATTACGAGGTAAATTTGAAAAATTTATGAAAAAGCCCTTAGGTTTACTAATTTAATTAAAGACCCTACTATATAAAATGACAAAAACACCCCCACCACCTACAGTGTCAGATTCCGACCGCCACCGCTGGAACCTGACCGAAAAATTTCGTTACGGCACAGACCGATCGGATCTGTGCCGTAACGCATCATTATGGCCTTTTCCGGTCAGATCCACCACGGATCTGGCCGGAAAAGGCCAGATCTACGGCCTGTTATGGCCGTCGACGGCCGGAAAGGCCAAAACGATGGCCATCTTTGGCCGTCAGCGAAGATGTGGCCGTCGTTTTCGGTCAACGACGGCCATTTCTTTGGTCGTCGCTGACGGTCAGATCTGACTGGAAAAGACCAGATCGGTGTAATTTTGGCCATTTATGGTCGGAATTTAGGCCATTGTACAGATTCCGGCTATCACCGGCGGTGGTTGCCGGAATCTGACAAGTTGGGTTGATTGGGGGGTTTTTGTTAATTTTTAAAAAAAATTCAGGGGGCATTTAGTGAAATTAATAATTTTATGGGGTCAATTAAAAAATAGGATAATATTTCTGGAATAATGTGCCAAACATTATTTGGAGAATAGGATTGGGAATATGGATAAAAATAGGGAGCCAAACGCACCCGTCGTTGTCTTTCCCCGAGCAAAAAATCTTCCTTCAAACGACAGCTAGCTATAATACAACAAATCTCAAATCCACTAAAACCTTCCACACTGTCTCTTCAATGGCACAACATCTAGCTCTACCTCTTTTGCTCCCAATCCCACCGCCCATAAAGCCGCTCTTTCTTAATCAAAACCATCACAATCCTCAATCCACAACGCCCTTATCACCACCACAACAAACGACTTCACCATCTCCCTCTTTCACTCCTCTTCTTCAAGACTTCCTTCACCAACAAAACCCCTCGCACACTTCTTCACAACACTTTAACTCTCCATCTTTCATACCCAGAAACAGAACCCGAATTGGGAAGTCACGTGACGTTAACCACGGGAAACCCTGGTCAAACCACCACCTCTCCGATGCAGGTCAGCGGGTTCTCCAATGTTTAATTGATGAATCTTTCGATGTGAAAGATATTGATAGTGTTTTGTTACAGTTATTTGAGTCATATCGGGAAAACCCAGATGTAATGATTGATGGTTTGAGTTTTGATATGTTGGGTATTGTTAAGGGTTTAGGGTTTTACAAGAAATGTGACTTGGCGTTGAGTGTGTTTGAGTGGCTTAGGAGTCGTAAAGATTGTGAGTTGGTCTTGAATGGTTCTGTTATACCTGTAATTATTAGCATGTTAGGGAAAGAAGGTAAAGTTTCGNAATTAGAAAAACACCCTCACCCACCCATACTTGTCAAATTCCGGCAACCACCGACAGGCTGAGATTGGAGGATGTGGTGACTAGGGTTTTAAAAATCGAAAGAAAATGGGGACAAGGGTGCGTTTGGTTCAATATTAGTATACTTTTTTAATTACTTTAGACCCTTAAATTTATTAATTTCAAAATACCCCAAAAGAAAGTTTAAAAATTAGAAAAACACCCTCACCCACCCATACTTGTCAAATTCCGGCAACCACCGTCGGTGGTAGCTAGAATCTATCACAACGACCTACACCACGATCGGAACTGGTAGGTAATTCATTGATCTGGCCATCAACGACGGCTAAAGAAATAGTCATTGTTGACCGAAAACGATGGTCATATCTTTGGTCGTCGACCAAACTTTTGCGGCTGTCGACGACTACATTTAGTCGTAGATCTGGTCTTTTCTGGCTAGATCTATAGTGGATTTATCCAAAAAATGCCATATCGTTTTTCAGTCAGATTCCGACGGTGGTGGCTAGAATCTAGCATTGCAAGTGATGGGAGTGTTTTTTTCATTTTAGAAAATTTTTATATATTGGAGTGTTTAGCTGAATTAACAAATTTAGGGAGTTTTTTAAAAATTTTTAAATTTTATCTCGTAATACTTTTCTATTCAACTATCTAATATTATTCATAAAATCCTATCTAAAATAATAAACCAAACGAGGATTTGTATTTTAGGGAAAATGAATTTGATTTAGGAAAACTGAAATTTGAAACTCAGGGATAGGATGCCACGTAATGATGTTCATGACGTGTGCGAGTGATATATATGTGTAGCATTTTTGCGGAAGTAATCGCAGTAAACCAACAAGCTCAAATTCCACTGAAACCTTCCACAGTCCACACTCTCTCTTCAATGGCACAAAATCTAGCTCTGCCTCTTCTCCTCTCAAACCGACCGCCCATAAAGCCTCTCTTTCTTAACCAAAACCAACACAATCCTCAATCCACAACGCCCTTATCACCACAACAACAAACGGCTTCACCACCTCCCTCTTTCACTCCTCTTCTAAAAGACTTCCTTCACCAACAAAACCCCTCGCACCCTTCTTCACAACCCTTTAACTCTCCATCTTCCATACCCAGAAACAGAACCCGAATTGGGAAGTCACGTGACGTTAACCGTGGGAAACCCTGGTCAAACCACCGCCTCTCCAGTAAAGGTCAGCGGGTTTTCCGATCTTTAATTGTTGAATCTTTTGATGTGAAAGATATTGATAGTGTTTTGTTACAATTATTTGAGTCTTATCGGGAAAACCCGGATGTAAAGATTGATGCTTTAAAATTTGATGTGTTGGCTATTGTTAAGGGTTTAGGGTTTTACAAAAAACGTGACGTGGCGTTGAGTGTGTTTGAGTGGTTTAGGAGTCGTAAAGACTGTGAGTTGGTCTTGAATGGTTCTGTTATAGCTGTAATTATTAGTATGTTAGGGAAAGAAGGTAAAGTTGCGGCTGCGGCTTCGTTGTTGAATAGTTTGCATAAAGATGGGATTGATATTGATGTTTATGCTTATAATTCATTGATAATTGCTTATGCTAAAAATGGGAGGTATAGGGAGGCTGTGATGGTGTTCAAGAAAATGGAGGAGGAGGGGTGTAAACCTACTTTGATAACTTACAATGTGATTCTGAACGTGTATGGGAAGATAGGTATGCCCTGGAATAAGGTTATGACTCTAGTAGAGGGAATGAAGAATGCCGGAATTGCCCCAGATTCTTATACTTATAATACGCTTATAAGTTGTTGTCGGCAGGGTTCCTTGCAAGAAGAAGCAGCTTGGGTTTTTGAGGAAATGAAATTAGCGGGTTTTAGTCCAGATAAGGTTACTTATAATGCCTTGTTGGATGTTTATGGGAAGTCTAGGCGGCCCAAGGAAGCCATGGAGGTATTAAGGGAGATGGAGGTTAATGGTTGTTCACCCAATATTGTGACTTACAATTCATTGATATCAGCTTATGCCAGACATGGTTTGTTGGAAGAGGCGGTGGAGCTTAAAAACCAGATGGTGGAAATAGGGATTCAGCCTGATGTTTTTACTTACACCACCCTCATATCAGGGTTTGAGAAAGCCGGGAAGGATGACTCTGCAATGAATGTTTTTGAGGAGATGATAAGTGCAGGGTGCAAGCCACATATATCTACTTTTAATGTTTTTATTAAGATGCATGGAAACAAGCGAAAGTTTGTGGAGATGATGAAGGTTTTTGATGAGATCAAGACTTGCAGTTGTAAACCGAACATTGTTACATGGAACACACTTCTGGCAGTATTTGGGCGGAATGGGATGGACTCGGAAGTGTCAGGTCTGTTCAAGGAAATGAAGAGGGCTGGGTTCATTCCTGACAGGGACACTTTCAACACCCTAATTAGTGCATACAGTCGTTGTGGTTCTTTTGACCAAGTCATGGCTGTTTATAAGAGAATGCTGGAAGCTGGGGTTAGACCGGATCTTTCCACTTACAATGCTGTTTTGGCAGCATTGGCCCGGGGAGGGATGTGGGAACAGTCTGAGAAAATACTTGCTGAAATGAAGTATGGTCGGTGTAAACCCAATGAGCTAACATACTGTTCTTTGCTTTATGCTTATGCCAATGGCAAGGAGATTGGGCGGATGCTTGCTCTTGCAGAAGATATATTCTCTGGTCTGATTGAACCTCATGCTGTGCTCTTGAAGACCCTTGTTTGGGTTAATAGTAAAAGTGGCCTCCTTATAGAAACAGAGCGTGCCTTCTTAGAGTTGAAGCAAAAAGGATTTTCCCCTGACATAACCACTCTAAATGCCATGATTTCGATTTATGGCAGGAAGCAGATGGTTACCAAAACAAATGAGATCTTGAACTTCATGAATGAGAGTGGGTTCACTCCTAACTTGACAACCTACAATAGCTTGATGTATATGTACAGCCGTTCTGAAAATTTTGGGAAGTCCGAACAGATGTTAAGGGAAATTTTGGAAAAAGGATTGAAACCTGATATAATATCTTATAATACTGTCATTTATGCCTATTGTAGAAATGGTCGGATGAAAGAGGCTTCACGGATATTTTCGGAAATGAGAGATTCTGGCCTTGTTCCAGATGTAATCACCTACAATACCTTTGTTTCAAGTTATGCAGCTGATTCATTGTTTGTGGAGGCTATTGATGTGGTTCGAAACATGATCAAGCAAGGATGTAAACCAGACCAGAGGACATACAACTCCATTGTAGATGGTTATTGTAAAATCAGTCGTAGAGATGAGGCAATCACGTTTGTTAACAATCTTTCCAAGCTTGATCCAGACACATCTAAGAGGGAAGAATGCAGGTTAGCAGACCGTATAGCAAAGAAATGGTCATAGAGGTAACTTTTTCCCAACTTCCTATATCTCTACAAGCATTGATATTCTTCTTCGGAGTGTCATTATCTCCAAAATTTCTGGTTTGTACACACTATATTTATTCTATCATAACACGTTGTGTATGCAAAAAATAATCCCAGAAAAGAAACTATTCTCATCATGAGATGTTTGTCATGTGGGCATGCTCGAACTTTATTTTGAAACAAAGAGACGTTCATTCACAACGGTAAATTTCATCTTCTTTTTTCTGACATTTGAGAGGTACATGTATGGAATATGCCCTGATAAATATGCTATTGAAATGAAATGAACCTAGACAATTCCTTTTAACTTTCTTTGTGCTCTCCCTCTCTTTTGCTTTTGTGACCTTTCAGTAGAGATGGCCCAATTTGTAATCACTCTTTTACAACATGTGTTGCTGAACTATAATGCTCTGAGCATGCCAATCTTGACTTGCATTTCAGGATACAACTTTCTAGTCTTTGGTTTGACGTTAACTTAATTAACTTAATTGTCCATACATATCACTTTTTCATAAGCATGGAGCCACCTTAAAAAAAAAAAATAAACTGCGATGTTTGATTTGGAATTCTGAGACTCTGTTGGTTGGATAACGTTATCAAATCAGTTTGTTAGGAATACCTAAAAGATAACAGTGCATTATTTTTGTACTTTTTCTCTTTGTAGTTTGAGATCAATTGCATGATTTAAGTAACATTTAACCAATCGAAATCACTCTGAAAAGTTTTTGATGAAGCTTTAAACCCTAATTTTTATTTTTTTAAAGAAAGAAAGAAAGAAAGAAATATATATGATACTTATTATAGAGTTATGCAATTACAACGGTGTACTACGTTGATATTGGGTTGTGAGAGAGCTCTAATATATTGAGTTCAAAGGTTTTATTGATTTGATAATGTTATTGGTCATCGGTCACAAGTATAATTTCATAAATAAAATATGTCAATTGCAACCATATAATCTAAAAAATAAAGTAAACCATTAATAATATTATAATTAAAATAAAATATTCTAATTGCAATGTGATAGAACCCCAACTTATATTTGCAAAAGGAATAAAAGGGCTAAGTAGCGTGGGGTTGCAAGTGGAAAAGTTGATTATCCACGTGGCAATGACAATAGATTGTGTGTGACATTTTTGGGTATAAATATAGGAATATGATTTGTAAAAGGGGAGAACATTTTAGTGGGATTTTAGAAGGGAGGTCACTAGCTCCTTGAATTGCTAGGCTATCTTTAAATTCGTTGTCATTTACTTTCGTTGCTTTTCAATATATTGTTATCTTTGTCTTACAATTGCGCAATACAGTATTTAATTCATATAAGTTGATTTCTCTTGTCATTGAATTGTGATCGTGATTTACTGCTCTGTTTGGTTGTGTTAAGTGTCAAGGTTCTCATCACAATGTTATAATCACAATAATAAAACACTCGGTTCTAATGCAAATGTACCTCTCTCAGCTTTCCCAATTTTTGTCATCATCCACGTACAGATTAGACTGTTTATTTCATTTTCGTTTCACTTTATTTTATTTTATTATTTTGCTTTTTAACTTTTAGTTTATTCGGTTGTTGGGTTAGATTTGATTAGACAGTGGAAAGATCTTAATATTGCTTTTTAAGGAAAAAAAAAAAAATGGATTTTGTGGACTGCTTAGATGCATAAAAATCTCGATTTTATACGTTGAAAGAATCAAGTGCTTTCCACAAAGAGCTAGATTGAAGAAGGCAATAGGACGCTTTTGTTGCATTAAGACAGGCTCAATTCCACTTCCTGAAGCATCACACTCCAATATAAAAGACTTCGAAAAATCTGGCAAGGCAAGCACTAGAGCCATGGTCGTTGCATGTTTAAGCTCTTGAAAGGCTGACTCTGCCGACAAAGTCCATGAGAACGCGTCCTTCTTGAGCATTTGAGTAAGTGGACCTGCAATTTTACCATAGTTTTGGATAAATTTGCGGTAATACCCGGTCAAACCCCAAAAACCCACGCAAGGCCTTTGGTGTTGATGGCTTTGGCCATTCCTTCATTGCCTCCACTTTTTGAGGATCTACAGCAACTCCTGAATGTGGCCCAGATATTGAACCTGTCTTTGACCAAATTGGCACTTTTGT